TTCCTCTCTCCCTCTCTCTCTCTCTCTCTCTCTCTCTCTCTCTCTCTCTCTCTCTCTCTCTCTCTCTCTGAAACCCGCCATTGCAACAGCCGCAAATGACGGAGAGACCGACGTCATGGAAACAGCAGCCATTCTAAGTGGTCGTTCCCCTTCATGCGAGGACAACGGAACGACAGTTAATCAGCACACCAGCGGCGGGGGCACCACTGCAACATGTGATGACGTGTTGGCCACTATTCAAATGGAAACTGAGCAGATGCTGGCTAATGTGGATGACAACGAAAGYGGTGCACGAGGGAACAGTGGTCACACAGAGAAGGTGGGTGGAGAGAGAGAGGACGAAGATGTTGGCAGCGAGGGTCCTCACAGTGGATGCATTGTCAAAGATGCAAATGTGACAAAGACAATGGCAGGAGATAGATACCCGTACGATGTGAACTGGGTGCCTGGTCGTGTTCAGCCTGGTATCGTTGGAGGTGTGGATTGCTTTGCTTTCAAGGTTGGTGATGAGTGGGTTGCTTTTCCTCCCCCAATGAATGAAACATGGCGTAACGTATGTCTGTCATTTATCTACGACAGAGTGTTGAGGTTAAATGACGGGGCAACGACCCAAGATGCTTGCCGACACGCATTGAACATGTATCGTGTTCTAGAGGCAAAGGGTGAGTTGTGCCTTAATGATTTCCTATATGACAACGTTGACTGCGGTCGGCTGTGGGAGTTGGGTGGCCAGCAAGGCAGGAGGAGAACGCCAGTCGCACAGGATGATGCAAGGAGGGATCCTCGATGAGGTTGGTGCCATCTGCAGTCCCATTTGGATATGGTCGTGTCAAGATGCAAGTGCGTGATATCATGGGCAATGTGTGGAGCGCGCATTAATGGCATGCTTTCGTTCCGTCATTTTGACAGAGAAGCAACTGCAGAGGAAAAGGAAGCGATGAGATGCAGGCCACGCGATGCACGCATTTCTGACCCGCCACTCGGCAATCCTGTCGAGTTGGCCCTCGCTGAAGGGAAGGTGTTTACTGGTGAGAAGCGCATCACATACGTCCACGTTATGGGGAAAGAAGCCACATTTAATGACATCTGTATGGACGTATGGGACCATACCGCAATGCGGAAGGATGTCGTCGCAGCCAGTAACATTGCGACGCATGTGATTCAAGAAGGGCAATTGTACCAGCATGTGGCCCGTGACATGTACGGGTACCATGTCAACTGGGTACCTGACTCTTTGCATCCAACAGTTGTTGATGGCAAAGTGACACTGGCAGCAAGGATGCAATCCGGTGAGTGGCTGCCTTTGGGTTGGATGCATGCTGACGTTGTGGAGCATTGGCAGTTCTTGGTGGTGGTGACACGTGTTTCCGTTTGCAATCCTCATGTGAGGGACCGACGATTGCTGGAGGAACACACTCAACGTTGTTGGGAGAAGATGAGGGAGGAAGATCGGCAGATGGTGTGCATGGGATATGACAACCACAATGACCGGGCGATGTGGTTCATTGTGGAAGACGCATGCCTCGACCAACCACGACCCTCGACGAATAACTTGTTGCTGGAGGGCATTTGACGCAGATACGGGTGCACATCACTACTTGGGTGGGTCCCTGTCGTCTGTCCCATGACATATGAGCATGGGGAATAGATGTGCATGAGATTGAGAGACCCTCTGGGTGTCCCTTTCCAGCTCACGTTCATGGATGGACTGCTGCGACACATTCAGTACGCGGGTGATGACGACGGCCGTGCTGCAATCAACCCTCAACAAACAGCACAGCAGCAGCAGGACATTTCACATTTCTCCTCTGAGGTCGACGCCCCGGAAACGGCTCATGATGGGGGATGTTCTCACGCACAGCCCGACGACGGTGACACCACTTTGGAGCACGTGATAGGGAGGGCAGAGAAGAAGAACAAGCAGTGCACGTCCAGGTCGCCTCGTCATCCTAGGAGTCCCACAAAAGCAAAAGGCAAAGAAAAGGTTGTCCCACGTAGAGGCGAGACTCCCAAAGCAGCCGCTGCCCCAGCTCCTAAGCGCAGGCGCCGCCCGGGGATGGCCGCATTGGCAGAGATTCGGCAACTCCAATGATCTACTAACTTGTGCATCGCTTTGAGGCCGTTTATGAGGGTAGTGGGTGAGATCGTCGAAACAGATATCGCACCGGGGGAGTCTATGAGGTTTCAGATGAGCGCCATACGTGCGTTGATGGAAGCGGCGGAAGCATATCTCATCAACCATTTCGAGAGAACGAACATCATTGCTATCCACTGCAAGAGGGTGACGATCCAGCTGAAGGACCTGAGGCTGGTTGATAACTTGTCAAAGGCTCGCTGGGAATACAGATACCAAGGCATTACCGACGAGCAGAAGAGAGCAGAAAAGCTACGGCAGATGAATGCTGCAAGGCAAGAGGAGAGAGATGCGCGGGCGGGGAAGGGGCTGTCAGGAAAGACAGCAGCAGCACGCAAAGGCGGTGACACTCCAGCGGCGTCATCGAAGAGGAAAGGAGCCCCGCGTAAAGGCAATGCAGCAAAGAAAAACACGAGATAAGAACACATTGAAGACTGCAGTGAGACCGCGCCACGTGACTTGCATTGACTTGCTGTTATCTGCGGCCTGCGGCGGGACACAGGGGCTGTACTGTAGTAGTGCAGATTCGTTGTTTTGTTTGTGTGTGGGCCTGACCGTTGACTAAGTTTGTTGGGACTGACCGCACGCCCCATATGCAATTCTGAATATTGCTGGGCCAGTACCAACCGCTCTTGTGCATACGACCTCACTGTCGAATTGACAGCACCGGGCTATT